AGATGCATTTGCATTGACCAGCAATAGCTAAGATCCAATTCCATAGGCATTGTAAAAATGGAGGATTGGCATATGGATAAAGGTACGTGTCTGAACAAAGAAGGGAATTAAGATAGATATTTTGAGTAATTGCTAACAAAGGGAATACCGTACCAAAATGTGGATTTGGTTAAAACAAGAATGTCATAGGAAATAATTAGTTGAATGAGTCATGATATTAGGAATATTTGTTTACAATAAGAAATTTATTTGATGATTTGTTTGTATGGTTGAAGTTTCGCGAATCGAAATTCGCGACAGTTTCCGAGATTTCATGATTACTCGCACATTTGATTCCTTTTTTGCTCATTTATTTATTCATTCAGACTCGATCTCTCGTCTTTTCCTGTTTATATACTCACATTCTTTCAATCTCTTCATTTTTTTCTCTTTTAATTTGTTTTCCTGTCCATAAAAAAAGTATAAAAGTAATTAGTACATAACAGCTAACAAAACATCTTCATTTAGAAAAGTGCTAGCAAAAATAATCATTCATTCAATCAATTTGTTAATTTAACAATTAGTAATCAATCAGACTGACGAATATAATAATATCACTACTAGTTTTTAGAGTCAATTTATTTCATGAGTTCATTCTTGCCATTGCTATACCACAATCTATTAATATTCTCATATTGCTTTTATTATTATATTTTCCCAAGAAATCTCTTATTGGTCATTTCACTGAGCACAGTCAACACCTTTGCGAACATCGATGAATGCATTTTATTTCCCATTGAATTTAATTAAGAAATCAATTTTATTTCATATTTTATTGTTAACACTTAAGGAAATACGCATAAAAACTAAATTATATCAATGATATCTTTCAAGTCATACATTTATTCTTTTATTGAAAATAGTTTTTTATAAGAAAAAAAGTCTCGAATATATAGGGAGAAAAAATTGAATGAAAAATTACATTCCTTTCAATTGATGGGAATGAGTTATTGCTTCAGGCAACTGAAAAAGGTAACAAAAATGCATTACTGAACATTCAATCCAATGCGATAACTGTCGTGGATTTTATATTTTGTGTCGATCTTTTGAAATAAAATATAAGTTATTTCACTATATTAGTGGTCATTTCGAGAAAGCAACTTACATTATCACTCAGTTTCATTCGTTCTCATTTTCACATCATTTTTGTTTAACAATGAAGCAGTTACTGTCGATCACAAAATCACGCTACAGATATTGGCTTCATCTCTGGTAGTATGATTAAATGGTTAAGAACTGTATGGGGAAGATAGTTAATGTAAAGATGATAGGTTCATAAATTTAACATAAATTTAAATTGATAATGAAAAAATAAAAAGGAAATATCTCAGATTAGAAAATGAGGAGACAATATCAAGATTTGGAATTTTTCACGATAAAACCGCGATGAACTTCCTTAAAAATGATCGAAAATTTTAACTTTTTTACCTTACTTAGCAGTTAAGATTCTAGCTAACATTGACATATGTCAGATTAATTCCACCATCCATCAACGTTCCTGTTAGCATTCTGACAGTAATGAACATGTACTTGCTCTACATATTCCGGCTATTAACTGATCATATGTGTATTTCAGTTATAAAATGCTTTCCACAGACACGAGTGCAAAATTGAGCAAAATTCATAAGGATGACATTAATTTATTGCGAGAATCCTGGTTGATCATACATCGAAATATTCAGAAAATTGGTGTCAACATCTTTACAATGATTTTTGAGCAATGTCCTGGAACAAAATTTGTATGAATTTTCAGATTTTCTTTCACAATTTGTAATTTTTTAATTTTTGATTTGTAATTTAAAAAATCAATCTTATTATAATGTTACATATTAAAAAATTACTGATTGAATTGACTGATCGAATTTCTGATTGAATAATTTCATATATGATATGATTTGATCAGCTTAGTTTACTTCAATTTCTTTTACAATGCAGCTTTTTTTTCCAGCTATTTCCATTTACAAATATTTCAAAGAAAAACAGCGATTTCATCAAATTTCATTCCTTAAGATTTATGCAGGTAAGGAACAATTAACTTTTCAACTTCTACAACGAGGATTATATAACTGAGAGCATTTTTTAGTGGAAATTATTTCAAAAAATGAAAAGATAAGATGGAATCTTTTTGGAAGAGCAAGGTAGATTCAACATGAATATAAATATTTCTTGTTAATACTTAATAGTTTTAATGAGTTTCTGCTATCAAAATTAAAAATATCATTTCATCCCATATAATTTGTAATAAATTGGAAAGATGTACACAGTGAATTGAGGATCTTAATGAATAAATTAGCTGCCAAATTCAATTTTCAAAATTCATTTATTTGGAATATTAATAAAATGAATTTTGAAAATTGAACTCAAGTGCCGATTGTTTGCTTATTAGTTAGAGAAGATTGCAAATAGAAAATGAAAAAAAATGAATTCAGTGGAATTCAAAATAGAAAATTTATTGAAGTATCACTCCACTTGAATCATTTTCGAAACTGTTTTCATTTTTCATTCGTTACTTCAAATTTTAGGCAATAGAAAGTGTTATTAATTCCATAGAGAATTTAAATGAAATCGACCCATTATTAACTAATCTTGGCCACGTGCATGGAAAATTAAAGGTTATTGGTTTGAATTTTTTATTCAAAAAATACAACTTGTATCTTCTTGTTGCCTTCGATAAATTCCTTTAAAAAAATATTTGTATGTAATTGTTCGTTTGATTAATTGTTTAAAGCCATTTTGTTATTGTTATATGTTGCATCTTTAAATTTCACTCATTTTTCATCACCTCAATTATTTGAATTTCTAAACTAGAAAGACGAAGGAATTTGAAATCATTTAAAGATAGAAAAAAATGAAAGGAAGCTATAATAGTAAAGAAGAAATGAGAAAAATATAGTTATTCAAGAAAAAGTAGGTAAGCAAATTTCTCGACTTATTTCTCAATGAGCCTCAAATTAATTCCAACAATTTATTTAGGAAAGACTCGATTTCAAAGCGGAATACTGGACGGTTTTCCGTGAATGCACATTGTACCATTTTAGACGAGTTTTGGAAAAGAGTAATATTATTATCAAGTTGGTTTTCCCCCAAATCTTTTGTCTCATTACTTTACTATTTAAGATTTTGCTAATTTCAACAATTTATTCACTATCATGTTCACTAAAGTTGTCCGATTCTTTAATGCAGTAATCATGCAACTTGTTCGTTAGTGATCGAATTGTTTGCTTTCTGCTTAATCTATAATGATCACTTATTAGTTCAGACTTCTTTTGGTTGATTAAAATGTGACATTATCAACTCAGTTTGCTCAGCTTTTCGTCCACTTTTGACAGTGTGTTATCAATCCTAAATAATTATAGACTTAATACTGAATCAAATTTTATCAAAATTTCAAAAATTTTCAGTTATTTGCTTCATTATTCGAAAGTTAATAAGTAGTATTGACGTTTAATACTGAAAAGCTTTGAAATAATCATAAACATTCCGCGTATGGTCCGAAATTTCTGGTTTTATTTTTCAATTGACCTGATTACTATTGTTGGTCCACCAACCAATATACTTGTGATGAAGCAAAATTGTTAAATTTCAATATCAAAACAAATTAATTTGAAAATTGACGAATCCGTATCAGAATTAAATATTTTAATTGGAACTTGTATCAGAATAAATCTTTAAAGATACTTCCTTTCGTAGGACCCGAAGACTATTCGGAATATCAAATTCAACAGATTCCGATATAGATTATTTGATTACTTTGTGGGGTTTGCTATTAGATTATATGATCGAAGAGATGACGGTGTCTTTTCGAGCTGATGTTCGAGCCAGGTTCAAACTCATTTATTTTTCCAACATTTTTTCTTTTTTTTGTTTCTGATTTCTTTTTTAAATAATAAAAATCAATTGGACAATTTCCGAAAATTTCTAAAAAGAAGAAAATGACGAATTGCATGAATGATATTATTAATAAAATTTTTAGCTGCATAAAATCTAAAATTAAATTTCTTCAGGGAACTTAATAAGAATAACTGGTTCCAAAACGAGGAAGAGCAAAATAGCAATTATTTTGAAGAAAGACGAGAAGCGATGAAAATGCACCGAACTGAACAGTAATAACTTCTATGAATTTGTTGATAGATACAAATGGAACTGTTTCATTCAGCAAAATATCTTCCGGGACAAGGGTTGCTAACAAAGTTCCTGATTTACTTCCAAATTCCATTTGAATTCATTAATAAGTGTTACAGACATTTTCAGTTATTCCAATTAAATTAACTAAAAGTTCTATAAAGCTTGTAGGATTAACAGAATTGAGAACACTAATTGAGAAATTCATTCTTCGTTTCTCTCTTAACTCACTTTTTTTCTGTTTGAGAGTGAAAACAAATGAAAAACGAAACAAACGAAAAAGTTTCTGCTGTGGCTTGCAATGCTTTCATGTCGACCAGTGATGCGATCATCATTAATGACTATTATCAATTATCACCTCATCATTAGTAATATTACTTATTAAAATTGTATATTTCATTTTTGTTTCCAATTACTCAAACGTATCAATTTTGAATAACTTCAACCAAATAATTAGGTTGATTTTATAAAACCATTTTATCAGTCAAATAAAACTATTATTGCATTTAATTACATTTAATTCCATGTATTCTTCCTTTCACTTGAAAATTCGAGACTGAGATTAAATTTCGTTGGTTGCGATCTCTAAAGGCAGTCACTTATTTAATCAGTTAATAAGTTAATCGACTTTTCTTTCCGATCATTCGATTAATCGCTATGGTCTAAGAAACAGTTGGCTTTCTTACATTCTTAATATTGTATCCCTCCTTGTCTTTTATCCCTCCTATTGTATCCCTCCTTCAAATACTGTCTTTCGACTAATGAAGCAACAATTTTTAATTACAGTTCAGCCACATGCTTCAGATGAATTTGCATATTTACGTCAAAAGTAATGAATTTTATCATCAGAACACTATAGTATGGTGACGACTTTCGTTTTAATATTAACAACCAGAATTGATAATGCATGTGATATTTCGTAAAGCATGTATAGGTTTAGCGACGAAATAAGTTTGGCTTCATTTACTAAATTGAATTTGAAAAAAATATCAATGAAGATTTCAAATTTCCTATAGGTATGGTTGAAATGAAACTTCGTGCAGTGTTCTGTTTCATTATGTCTGCTAAAATTAAGCTAAAACAATAAACTGAAAAACTGTGTGTAAAAATGGATTTTTTTAGGCATGCAGCGCTATACTGTCAGGGTTATGTGACTCTATTAGGAAGTGATGATCAAAGTGGGGGCCCGAATCTTTCGACCGTCAGTTGTTGCATAATAGCACACAAATCTGTTCTTATCCACATATTAATAATCCTCAAAAAGATCAGGTTAATGTTGCACAGTAATTTATAGTCGGTATGCTAGAAACTCTTATGAAGAGTTCAAAACATGCTATGACCCTCTTACTATGACTAACTCACTTTGTAATGAATGATTCTTATTTCCTGAAAAACAAAAAATTTTCGGTCTTTTGCAATTTTCATTTGTTGGCACTTCTATCCTAATCTTCTTCGGATTTTATGCAGTTCAATCTCGAAATATGATGAGTTTGCGTGTCGAGTTAAGTGCTGCCTAGAACTTCTATACTCTCATATGAAAAGATGATACCTTTCGGAAATATCACATGCATTGTCACTGCGTTCTTCTGAGCCATAAAGCATTCCAAACAGTTTTATATATCCAAAAATTAGCAAAAGTAAAAATTTTTCAAATTATTCATACAGTTATTATCAAAGATTAAATATGCGAATTTCCTTTCATCTGAAATTACATCCACTTTATAACAATGTTTACATCGTTCGGTAATTTCAAATTTTAGCACAAATTCCCTTGCTTTACCTCTTTTTCTTTCAAGTTCTAATATGATATTTAATAAATATATTTGTTTAATTTTTCATCCAATATTCATTTACAAAATAGGTAAATGTTAATGGAGTGGCGCTTGTAATATTATGTTTAGATTATTAAATTATAGCTTATATGTGAAATATAGCTAACTATATATTGACGACACAAATAGAAATATATTATGTGTGTGGTTTCATTTACATCAATCCTATTAATTTTGTTTTTCGAATTCTTCTTAGCTTATCAAAAGAATAAAACTAATCTCAAACTTTGCAATTCTTATAAATATTTCGAAATTGTCGAAATTATTGTTGTTTCAGTTAAAAATCCGAAAGAACCAGAATAGCCCAATGTAAGATGTAGGCTGAAACGTACAAAATATTTCCTGTGCAACTTAAGTTACAAAAGTGAACGAATGCAAAAGACCGTATGCAACTTGTATAAAAATGCAAGATCTATTAAATCAAATATAAATTATTAAAGGATCTAAATTGTAGATGGCATGATTGAATGTTATAAATGATTAGCGTGAATGTATGAGTTTATACTTTTAAACGATGCTATTTTTGCTTTCATCTGTTTACTAGGAATCTTATGTTATATATTAAACATCATAAATTATAAATATTTCTTCTCTCAAAAATTGATCCAATATAAGATTATTATTTATATTAAATTAATCTTTTTCATACTTCAAAATTATTTCAGCTAGGTTTCTTGTTGATAATTTTAATAATTTTAATTAAAAACAGAATTTTAACGTTAAATATCTGTCAGTCGATTTGCATTTAAATAAGTTTTGCAGTCTTTCATTGAAGTAAATGTTGAAATGCTTTAAAATATTAACTATATATGCTGAATATTTAAAAATTGAATTTAATATAAACTTTTTTGATTTTCTTCTCTATTCAATATACGATAATCACATGTTTCATTAATTTTCATTACAATATTTTCGACTGACTTCTACTAAAGTTAAGAGAATTCAATTCCTATAAGATATGTTATTTCAAGTGTTAGAAAAATAGTTCTCAACATAGTGTTTTTTTTCTCAATTATAAGTTATATCCAAAAACTTGAAGAGGAGAAAAAAGAAGGAAAAAAGGATTATTTAAAAGAAAATCCCAAAAAACCGTCCAACCGGAAATAAATGTTGAACGTTGAGATCCTCATTTTCATAGCGGAATAATACAGTAGAGGTGGCATTGTCGGGACTGGAATGGAGGTCAAGTTTCCAGGTCTCACGAACTTTCGGGTTTCTTTTCGTATCTTCACTGTCCATCCGCTCGCATTTGTTTCTAAGAATGCTTTGATAAGCTAAATTTCGAGAGGTTCAAACCTGACATATGAGTACCTGTCGTGAGATAAATTCTAGTAGGGATTTAACTGCAGTTATGCATTTACCGAACAGTAGTATACACATGCTATTTGATAGTTGCTCACTCCTCTCTGTTTGCTACATCTCTTTCAGAAAATATGACAAAACGTCGGCCGAAAAACAAAAAACCAACAGGTTTAAATCGTTTTTTGGGGAATTGTTTATTAAATGAACGTGAAAAATTGCGTCAACAGTGTCGGAAAGCACAAGAAGCCTGTAATGTCGAGAATCTAATTGAAATTAATAAGGTTAAACTTATACAAATACCTGGTAAAAAGAAATCATGGGGAATTGGAGGAGGTAGAGGATGCATAATAAAAAGGTGAAGTAAGGGTAGCTAACGAGAAATAGGTAGATGACGTAACCACGGTTGACCGATGAGTGTCTAATATAACATAAAATAATGGATAGAAAAGCAGGTATTTGTTAGGCAAAATAAGTCAAAAAGAAGTGAGCATAAGGGCATATAAAATTGCTCAAAATAAGGGATGCAAATGGTTCCCACTTGTAATAAGCTTAGTAAGTAAAGTTGAACAAAAGGTAATGTAAAATAGTTTAAGTGGAGTTGATGATGACAAATAGCTTGTAGTAAGAGTATACGGTTAACCTGGATAAGCGTCAAACGTAATTGTAACGTAGGTTGAAATATAGCTTTCAAGACATACGCAAATTAGTTTCAATAAAAGTTGACAAGTAGACTTTTGGAATTTTTGTTCTGCATTTCAGATAATGATGTCATTTGTTTTGCTCTAATATTTTTTATATGAAAGCATTTGTAAATAGTACAACGATGTAATAACTTTATACTAGACTATCTTGTGGATTCATTCACATTTTCTGGTTTCTCATATGTGATTATTTTTTGAAGAATACGGCACAAAATATTGACTCCGTAACCGATGAAACCGGTCTAGAAGAATTCCTAGCCAAGGCAGAGCTTGCTGGGACAAATTTTACAGCTGAAAAAGGAGAATTTTGTGTACTCAACTTGTGAGTTTTTTTTCTTTGAAAACAATGAAGTTTTGAAGCATGTAAACTTAGCTGGTGTTTTGCTTATAATAAGGGTTGGACACAACAAAAGTTGGGAATTGCTTAGAACTATTACCTGTATTACTGTATTTGGGTAAGAAATTTCGTACTGTAAAGATATATGAATTCGTTTGAGCTATGTTTGTTTCGATTGTATCTTTTTTTAAGTGAATTTTTAGATGAAAATCATATGATGAAGGAAGAGATTTATTTCAAATCTTATATAATTTTGAGAGAAAATTCGAAAGTCGTTGTAAATACCATAAATGCTGCTCACTCAACGGACGAGCTGTATGGGAAATACGGTGATCGATTACGAATTCCTCGTCGGCCACCGAAACATACATGGGAAACGGTGGATGATTTAATACGATTAGAAAATATGAATTTTTTGGAATGGCGTAAAAATCTTGCTGATTTACAAGAGGTGAATTTTTTCTACTTTTCAAGTGTATAAGCTTTATTCCTCATTTTAAATCCTGATTTCAAATGTATTCCATAACACTGTCAAGTTTTCAGGGTCATGATGTACTGTTAACTCCATTTGAGAGAAACCTGGAGCTGTGGAGACAACTTTGGCGAGTCGTTGAGCGAAGTGATATCGTTGTTCAAGTTAGCTTATCATAAGAAAGCTCTGGAATGCGTTCCAAATCTATTCATTTATTCTCGTTGTATTTTTTATCTTAGGTATATTTTTGTCTTGTTTAGATTCTGGATGCTCGCAATCCGTTGCTGTTCCGGAACTTGGATCTAGAAACATATGTTAAGGAGTGTGATGTCGCGAAGCAAAATATATATTTGATCAATAAAGTTGATTTATTGTCGAAAGAGCAAATAGGGATGTGGAAAAGATGGTTTTTGGAAAATAATGTAGATGCTGTTTTTTGGTAAATTTTTAATCAAAATTAAAAGTTTTAAATCTATTTAAAATGTTGGGATTTGAATTTTTTGCAAAATTACCCTGAAAAGATTTATTATAGGTCAGCTTTGGAGCCAGAAGCTAGTTGTTCCAATAACACAGTAATAAAGGAGAAGACTGTGCAATATGGGAGTGAATCATCTAGCAGTTCAAATGAAAGTGAAAAGAAAATAGAGAATGAGGAACAGAATTTCGAGGAATCACTTAGCAGTGTAAAAGAAGACGATGACAGTGGCAAATGGAAGAATTCTGAAACGAGGGTGCCACGGAATCTGGAAGAAATGATTCCTATTTTACATCATGCTACGGCTAGCACTTTTTAATTCTAGTTGTTAATTCTGTCTAGTTCTTTTTAATTCTGTTAATTCTTTTTAATTCTGTCTAGCACTTAATTAATTAATATTTCTCTGTCTTCCAAAATGTATTCTGCGGAACTTTATGCCGAAATGTCACTTAAATTAGCGAGTACATGTAACTTGGCTTGCGAAAATATCATAAATATCAATTTATTATTTGGAATCAATTCAAAATTGATATAATCCATAGAAGTCCTATGAATGATTAGAAAATTATGTCAAAAAATATCTATAGAATTTAAATGAAACACTCTGATGCTTGCACATTGGTTTCTGCGCATTCTTGGATTGATAGAACGACTGTCAGTTAATGGAGTTGGATTTCTTTTTAAAAGTTTTGAAGTTTTAGATAACATAAAATGAGACTTTTGTTTTACTACTGAACTTAGTGCCTTTTTGAATCTTTCTTTTCTAAATCGCTGTTTTCCAGGAACTAATATCATTTTTCAAATCTCGAGGTCATATTCGAGCAGGTGACATGGGAAGACGTTTTCTTGTTGTTGGAATGGTTGGTTACCCAAATGTTGGTAAAAGTTCTACGATAAATAAACTGCTGAATCAGAAAAAAGTAGCAGTATCGGCCACGCCTGGAAAAACCCGACATCTGCAAACATTGGTGATTGATGAGGAGGTAATTTACAACTTTAAAAAACAAATTAAATTTTAAACAGTTCTTCAAAAGTTTAAATGGACTAACTTACTCGAGAAAATTCGTCGGTGAAGGCATTTCTGAAGTGCCTCTTCAACATATGAAATGACATTTAAAGTATTCCTTAGATAAAATAAATGAAATTTCTAAATTCTTATAGCCTTCGTTTTTAGCTTATTTTATGTGATTGTCCTGGACTTGTGATGCCATCATTTGCATTAAGCCGAAGTGAAATGATTTTGAATGGAATTCTTTCGATCGATTATATGCGAGAGTACTTATCTCCCATTGAATTACTGTTGACACGTGTCCCGCGCAGATATTTTGAAAAAATTTATTCAGTGATGCTGACTGATGATGATGGTGATGAGGAAACGTTACTTAGTGCACATGATCTACTTACAGCAATTGCATTCATTAGAGGTTAATTTTTTTTGACATTTAAAAAATTTTGGAATTCAGTAAAATGCTGTACTTGCAATGTGAATGCATATCATTCTGAAAGGTCAGCAGCTTGTATTGCCAGAACTTGATGATGCTTACAAAATTCACATAAGTTATTTCTAATGTAAATTTATAACTGTAGCATTACTGCATGGAAGGTTTGATTTTGAAGACTGATGAAAATGAGTGACATGAGTTCTACATGTATAAGTCTCGTGACATTTAATTCCAACTTTTAAGGAATTGATTTGTTCTGCGTTGAAAAGTATTTTTGACAGTGTTTTAAAGAATCATGGTGAGGTTCGAATTTCCAGCACTTCAAATACATGTCACGAATGTTAGGGATGCTGATTTCAGGCTTTATGTCATCATCTGGCATAGCGGATTGTTCGCGGGCGGCACGTTTGGTGCTGAAAGATGTTGTGAACGGTAAAATAAAATGGGCTGCTGCACCACCAAATATGGATCAAAAAGAGTTTGACAAGTTAACTTATGATGTTTTGGATAAAGCGAATTCAGTGAAACCGAAACCAAATAGTTGCCTTAGGCAACAGGTAAGACATGTTCAGCTGCTATGACATCACAACTTCTGCATAAAATTTCTTTTGAATTTTATTTGCTGCATTTTAAATATAATTTTAGTTTGATTACAGCTTGAGAAGCGTCATTTATTGCAAGATATGAAACGTTCAGATAGATTGCTCGATGAACAGTTTTTTCTTGGTTCAAAGAGTCAGGCCCATGTTCGTTCCTTGCGTTCCACACCGGACTTTACTTCATCGCAGGGGAATGAAATTCGACCGTCGAAGAAACATTTTAATAAAAGTAAACGCGAGAAATTACGAAGGATTTTTGTTGATTAATCTAAAATATTCCTACTAGTAAAGTGTCAAAAGTTCAGAAATTCTGATCGTTCAGAAGTCTTAACATTATCTTATTGTATCTACAATTGAACACAGTTATTTCAGTGGTGTTCTTTAAAACTTAATAATTTCTCTCGTTGTATGCGCAATAAAGTCTGTAAATTAATTTTTATACCATTAATTCCTGAACTTCATGTCGAAAATTCTCAGAACTTGATATTTAACAAGGAAGAAATATAGTAAGCTTACTTTGCTAAATTAAGCTACCTTTCCGAGGATATTTTCAGTTTCAGTTCTGAATGCATTGACGGCAGCAAGTTCTCTATCTTTACTTTAAGAGCTATCAATTTCTCCACAAATTGTTTACTAAATGAAGTCATATAAATGCATCATCGATGGGATGGTTTTTGTGAGAAATTTGTGTCGTGAATATACCTGCAGTTTCTATTCATGATATTAGTAAATTTCCGTAGTTTGTATATGTAGTGTAAATGCCGATGTAATGCATCTTAGATTTTTTACTGCGCTCTCTAAAAAAATTCAGAGTTTAGTTCTCTGCTATGATAATTGGATATTTATTTGTGATACATCAAGTGCTGAAGTCCTCCTTAGCGTTCGGGCGGGGTTAACCTAATATATTAAAGATCTGAGGTGGGAATCGGTTTTGCATTCTGGACAAGATAGTTGATACGTTGAGGTATGGTCTGTGGTACAGCAGAACCACTCGATTAGGGAGGATTGGCGAGATTTTATGCAGGTGGCAGGGCTGGGGTTGGTTTTCAATTCCATTCCATTTTGTATGTGGGTGCTGAACACAAAAATATATTTACATAATTCGTCTGTAATGACGTATTATTCTCGATAGTTCAGTAATTTCAGGATACGTGTCCCTAAAATGGGGAAGATAATGAAACCTGGGAAAGTGGTGTTGGTATTGGGTGGGCGTTTTGCTGGCCGGAAAGCAATTATTGTGAAAGCGTATGATGAAGGATCATCTGATCGTGCATATAGTCATGCGTTAATTGCTGGCATTGATAAGTATCCATTAGTGGTTAGTTTAATTTAAATATTGTGATTTTTAAAGTTCGTAGAAAAAGGAATACAAATCCTTGCCTCGGAGCTTCTATATAATTTGCATTTTTAAATTTATCTCGATAAAAGTCTACTCGTGGTCGATATCACAGTTACCACGGCTTACACAAGTATTCTCTTTCCAGGATAACTTGTAGTAGTGTGTAGCGGTAACCATCTCTCTTGAATTTAAAGCAAGAGGACAAGGAATCGTTCTAAACCTTTCATGCAGTTTCTTTGTCCGGAATTTTTTTCAATTTCTTTCACATTTCATAAAAAGTCATTGATGAAAATAACAGGAAAAGAGTTGTCAAAGGGAGATTTTGCTGGTATTTTTTTTAAATTGATGTAGGCCCTTCAAAAAAAAGAATTGAGATAATGTAAAATTGTACAAATACATCGGTTTGAAGTAATCTGATAAAGCAAATAGTATGTAAATGATGTGAAAGATATGCCCGAAAAAGATCCATTGAATATCCATGTGGGCAAAGCTTTTTAACTCTGACGCATATCTATTTGTTTTTATGCATTTACGACCGGTTTATCGTTCGTGTATAATCCCGCTGATTAGAAATGGTTTTTTAGCAAAATCCTTTTTATTGATTTAACGTTTACAGATTTACTCATTTCTTCCATTCAAACGATTTCATAGAGAAGTTATTTTTGCATAATAAAAGTCAAGTAATTAGAAGTCCGAACTACCGGTATATCAAATCTTTTATCTGAAGAAATGTACAATAGCATTTTTGGAATTATATGACAAGATCTGTTTATGATAATAAATTTTTTTCCAGGAAGAAAAACGAACATTATTTCAGGTTACAAAACGAATGGGTAAGAAAAAAATCAAAAATAGGAGTAAATTACGTCCATTTGTCGGTATTGCTAGCTATTCCAATTTGCTTCCAACCCGGTTTGTTTTGGCTTAATTTTGCAATTTTCGCTATTCGTTTCTCTCATGTTAGGAAGTCGAGAATTTATAAAATTCTGGTTATTGTGTGTACATAATGGTTGATCTCACCGATTAGTAAATTGGGGTAAAATCTGCGTAAATGCTATGTTTGATTCGCCAAAATTTCTATAAAGACGAGTTTTCAAATTTATTTTTTGAATATTAATGTAAAGAACTCTAAAATTCTGCAAACCGCTTTAAATGGCGCTGATTCCTATATAAATGAACACATTTATCAGGAGCAATTTTAAATAGTGATATGATATTTCTGTTATTTACAAAGGACCAGATTTGGCTTACACTTTGTAAAAGACATGCGAATAATAAGGAAATAATATTGATTCGTAATGTGTGCCAAACTTTTAACTCTAACGCTTATTTATTGACTTTATTTTCTATCTAATCATAATTTTCGGTTTGATTTGGCGTTTTTTTTTAAACCAGTTGTCCGAGGAAACGTAGATGGATACTATTTTTGATCTGTTTTGTGTGTTGTGTAGCGCAAGAAATTCAAATAATTTTCAGTTTCGTAATATCCAGTTTTACTGACGGGATAAAAGCAGTACAAAAGTTGAGGAATTTAGAAAAAAATAAAAGGGAATTATTCAGAATTCATTTTGTTGAGTACCGTGATGGATGTTCACACATGTGATCTGTTATATTGTTTCAGATATTCGGTCGATGTATCGTTAGATAAGAATTTGGTCAACAAAGACGTTTTGAAAGAGCCTGGAAAAAAACGGCGAGCACGGATAGAAATAAAAACGAAATTTGAAGAACGGTACAAAACTGGCAAGAATAGATGGTTCTTCACTAAATTGCGCTTTTGAAAATATTGTATTATTTTGTTGGTTCACTGTTATTATGAGAGTGAAAATTTTGTTAATGGTGTAGTCAAACGACTGGTTTCTCAAATTGACGTAAAACATGTTCAGTTTGAATTGTCGTTATCAGATCCCGCCATCACTAATTGTTTTTGTAAGGAGTGTTTTTATAAATTTGATGCATGACAACATCAGCTTGCTCGCTTTACATGTTCACTGTGACGATAGTCACTTGGATAGCGGTATCACATGTATTATCATCAGTTGAAATACTTCACGTCCACGCTGTGATTATTTTTATTAAAAGTTAACGTGTAAAGTCACACTAATAAGATCATACATCTACATAGGAAGTCACGGAGATGATAGGGTGCTACGAGTCGTCCCACTCTTATGATCAGTCGCAACTGCATCAATGAAAGGAACGGAAGTTCAGTACTGAATCTCTCACACTTTAGCAGTTTTGAATTCCTACTTTTCTACCAACGGTCTAGGTCATGGATGTGAAAAGCCGGAATTTTCCGAATATATTACGGAGTATGTCAATGTTCACCAGATTTGTCCGCCGAGCATGGCTCGAAATTACGTGTATGAAACCTCTAAATCTTTATTGCGTCATTCGT